ACCTCTACCATGATCAATCACTGACTAGGAGAAACAGTGGAAGAAGTGTGGTCTGGAAGAGTGTGCTGTGATGGAGCCAGAGTGGTGGTGGGTGGAGCTGTCAGTTTAACTATACATGCCACTGCAGAAAATCCAAGTGGTGCATTTTTGAGCACCACAGAAGTTCTTTACTTCCTACAGGATACTACAACCTCATTTGCATAATACATAAGATGTTGCATGAACTAGCCCTAATTACCACCCTAGGCTCATCCACCCAAACTCCCTAACTCACATTTTCTGCTGAACGTTAATACTAAACTTTTCTTGCCTTTATACCAGTATTGATTTATTTTCATTACCCTAAACTAACTTGTTTTTTTTTCTGTTTTTACATGTTTTTTTAATCTTAATTTTATTTTACCATTTTTCCATTTTTTACAAGTGTATACATTATTTGGGCCACTCCCCTCCCCTACCACTTCCAGGCAAAACCTGTTCTGCCCTCTTGTTCTCTGATTTTGTTGAAGAGAAAACATAAAAGATAATAAGAAAAACACAGCGATTTTGCTAGTTTGAGATAAAGGTGGGTATATAGAGAGATGCCTAGTGTTGTTACCATGCACATGTGTATTATAACCCACATTGGTTCACCTCTGCCAGACCTCCTCACTACTTCCTAGTCCCCTTCCCATAGTGGCCTCTGCCACCAAACTGTCTTCTAACTCATATCTTTCTAGACATTTTCTCTGCTAAAAATACTTGTGAGTATTTCTCTGAATACTCACAAGTGGTAATTACCCTTTTCTCTGCTTTCAGAATATTGTCTATTATGTGTTTACCTTCTAGGCTAATCTATATTTTCCTCAACTCAGAATCTGACTTTTTCATATTTGCATCCCCACTGTATAACACAGTATCTAGAACAGAACTATTCAACAAATGCTGTTAAGTTGTACTCAATCTTTTACTTTTAATTAGAAAATATAAGCCCTTTACATTTATTATTTTGTTTTGGTTTTGAGACAGGGTATTTGTATGTAGCCAAGGCTTGCGTCATGGCTTTAAACTCATGACTCTCCTGCCTAAGCCTCCTAAGTATTAGAATTATAGAAGAGTGCTACCATGTCCAGCTAGTCCCTTACAGTTATTACTACATTGTTGCTTATGGTCTGATTTATGTTATCTTCTAAAGTAGTTGGGGGATATAGTTTCTTATTCTTTTCATAAAATTGTGACTATAATACTGAGTACCACATAAAGTTGATGTGAATATTAAAGAAAATTGTATTTAAAAAACATGGCACATGATGAGTCCAAATAAAGAGGTGGTGGTGCAGGTATGGTCATGGCATTGCTAACAGATTCTGTACAAAGAAGCTATTTTCAAATTCTGGCTCTTACTTGTGATAGAAGGATTATAAAAAGCCCTTCCAATGTTAAATTATACTTTAAAAATATTTTATTTTGGGATGTGATTGGTTGTATAAGTGGCCTGCCTTCAGTTTCTTTTAGAGAGTTGCTTTATAATCACCTCTGCTTTAATAAAAATCTAGCTTTTGCTTAAATAAAAACTTATTTTAAGGAAAATTTGGAAAAACTGCTTTCTAATATCTAAAATGTTCCCAGAAACTTTTCCTTTCTTTCTTCTTTATTTTTCTGATATTAGTTTCTAAGCCCTCAACAGTTACCATCTTAATTACACATTCATTATAAATGGTCAAGTATATTTTCAAAGCCCTGCTCCCCAACCCTTACCCTGCACAAAATCTTCACCAGTGAAACTTAGCTGTTTGAGAACACCTCTCTCATACCATCCCCATATTCTGTAAGCCCGTTCAGAAGCATGATGCAATGCAAAGTGGCTGAAGAAAGCACCTAACTGCCAATAACCAAAAACTCATGTTGGTTGCTTGCTTACCATGACTTTTTTATTTAAATCATTAAACTGGAAATTTTGCTTCAGAGACCATCTATTTTCTATTTTCTATTTTCTATTTTCCTTTTGGGTAAGGCCTAACTTACCCAAAGGAAAAGCAAATTTTAGCTCATCTTTCTTGACAGAAGTTTGCTTTATGACTTGCTACAACATGCCCAAGGCAGTCAGATTCCTACCCTCCTACCAATAAGGGGAGATATCTGATGTCTGACAGTCACTGGCTGGGCTATCTTTCTTCTTTCAGAAAAACATTTCTGAAGGGGCAGAGAAAGAATTTGTGATAGCAAGTTTTCTAAAGTAAATGTTCTAATAAAAGACAGATCAGGACATGTCTGGGGAGGGTGGGTATCACTGGGAGGGGGAGGGTAAATGAAGAAGATGAAGAAGGGTGAATATGGTTGATATATAATGAAAACTGTTGAAATTGTTCTAAGAAGGGAGAAGGGTGATGTGGGAGAATGATGGAGAGGGCGAATCTAATTGAGATACATTGTAAGCACATATGTAAATGTCACAGTGAAATTTCCCTATACAACTAACATATGCTAATAAAAAGATTTTTAAAATTGGGAGGGAATAGTGTTTACTTTTGCTTATATATACAGTAAGGATCCAACTCTGTTTTCTCCATATAATGAGCTCATTTTCTCAACATCACTCACTAAGCAACCATTTCCATGGTGATTTGTGATTCTTCTCTCAATGCATATAACAAATTTCTTATCTATTCTGTTCCATTGGTCTACAACTCTATTCCTGAATCAGTGTCATATAATTTCTATTATTACACCTATGCAGCATGTTTTAACCAAATACTTGGGAGGATTCTCTCCTCTTTGCCCTTCTAAGATTTTCCTAGCTAGTTGTTCCTCATCAAAAATTGTGGCGTTCTTCTGAAGAATGATATGTTAAGTAAAATAAGCCAGATACAGAAAGACAAATACTGCATGTTCTCGCTCATATGTAAAGTTAACAACATTGATCTCATAGAAGGAGAAAGTAGAATTGTACTTGTTATTAGAGGCTATGATGGATAGAAACGAGTAAGTTTAGAGAACAGGTACCAAAATATAGTTAGATAGGAGATTAGGTTCTAGTGTTCTATAGCACAGTAGGATAATCACGTATAGTAAGTTTCAGATGACTTCTTATACTTTTTCAGATTTTTTCTTTTTTATTATATATTTTATAAAGAACTAGAACAGAAGAGTTTGTAGACTCCAAAAACAAAGAAATGGTAAATGTTTAAGGAGATGGAAATGTTTATTGCCTTAATTCAATTATTACATTCTGCACACATGAATCAAATTTTCACATTGTACTCCATAACTATGTGCAATTATTATGTATCAATTAAAAATCAACTTTAAAACTTTAGAGTTTTTAATTGAGTTTTTTCCCAAAATCCTGAGTCTCTAATTCAATTTTTGTTGAAATTAAATGAACAAGAGGATAAATAGGGAAGAATTGTCATCTTTACAATGCTGAGACATTATGTTCATGAACATAGTCTAGAGCTCTAGCTCAGCTCCTGGTTACAGACTTTTTACTAGATGTTTAAAATTTTATTACTAATTATGTCATTTGCAGGAAAATGGAAGGAACTGGGACTCTCATGTTAAGTGAAATAAGCCAGACTGAGAAAGGAAAACATCACATGTTCTCTCTCATATGGGGAATCTAGGCAAAAAAAGAAGAGAGAGAGAGGAAGGAAGGAAGGAAGGAAGGAAGGAAGGAAGGAAGAAAGAAAGGAAGAAAGGAAGGAAGAGAGGGAGAGAGGGAGGGAGAAGTGAGAGGGAGGGAGGGAGAGAGGGAGGGAGGAATGAGAGGGGAGGGGAGGGAGAGAAGAAGAAAGAGAGAGTGAGAAAAAGAAATGACACAGCATAAAACAGGGAGACTCTTCGGAGGTGAGAACCAACAGGATGGGGAGGGTGAAAGAAGAGAGTGAAGGGGGGTGGTGAATGTGATTGAAGTATTTAATATTCATACATGAAAATAGAATAATAAAACCCATTAATTGTTTTAAAAGGCAGCGGGGGAGCATAAGAAAGAATAGTAGAGGGGGTGATATTTGATCAAAGTACATTATATACAGGGAAATTCCCTTTGTACAATTAATATATACTAATATTTAAAAGATTTTATTTCTGATAATCATGCATATTTGGTAGGTTAATTACTAGACATTGTGAATTGTATCTTATTTTCTCCGAAACATTCCCATAGGTAATACTTGTGAGGGTAAATTTACATGATTTAATTTTTAAACATATGTTTTCTGGGTGTCTTAGCGTTCTCCTCTACCTGAGACAACATAAACAGTTCTTCAGAGAATGTATTTTGCACAGGATCTAGTTTTTCTTCAGCATGTGTTCTGCGAAATTATTTCTGACCTGTCTTCATGTTCTTGCTATATTAATATTTGTATCATATCAGACACTTTTACATGTGTTTAGCCTTTTCTTTTGATCTGACATTGACTTATTTAGCAAACATTTGTAGAACTCTTACTATTGTTCTAGAAGCTAGGTATCCAGCAAAAGAGACAAAGTGCCTGCCTCCACAGAGCATTAGGGTCCAACAAAGAATCCAAATAGAATCTAGGTTTTATTAGAGCAGGGATTTTTTTTTTCCCTGTGTTGTATCCCAGGCACCTAGAACAATGTAAACATTGATTGAATGTTAAATAAATAAATATCAAACACTAATTACAAGTGTGTTGAATGTAGTGAAAAGAAAGTGCAGGTGTCGTGCAGCACGTAAGTGCAAGGCCTACCCTGCTTTAGAGAATTATGTAGAATTAGTCTCTCAAAGAAGAGCTAGAGTCATTCCTTTAAAGTTTTTATAGCAGGTTTAAATAATCAGTACCTGGTTCCCATTTAGCCCTCCTATCATGTGTGGGGGCTTGAATCACCTTAATATTTTCGGTATTAACTGCCATAAATGAAAAATTAGATGAATTGCTTAATAATGTCATCTGTTTATAGAAATAAAAAGAAAATCACCCTTTAACAGCATGTATTTGTGTTTCTTGCCTCTTCCCTGCTTGCTTTCTCATCCCATTTTCTTTTCTGACTTGCAGATGAAGGAGCCTCTGTGCACCCTTGTGATGACACATACTGTGGTCCTTTTCCGGAGTCTGAGCCAGAAGTGAAGGCTGTAGCTAACTTTCTCCGAAAACACAGAAAGCATATTAGAGCTTACCTCTCTTTTCATGCCTATGCTCAGATGTTGCTGTATCCCTATTCCTATAAATATGCGACAATCCCCAATTTCAGCTGTGTGGTAAGTATTTGACTATATATATATATATGGCTTCATGCTTCTTTTCTGATGCTAAGACATCCTAAGTGCTAGTCATAATAACAAACATATTGTGTTTATTCCAACAAATATTTTATATACACTAACTCACTTATTCTTCATAACTTTTTTTTTTAAACAGGGTCTCACTTATAGCCCAGGTTGGCCTCAACTCATTTTCCTCCTGTCTCAGCCTCCCAAGTGCTGGAACTTTAGACATACTCTGCCATCCATGGTTTCTTCAAAGCTTTTTTTGTTCCCCTTTTACAGAGAGGGAAACTGAGACCCAGGGAGACTAAGTAATTAAACCAAAGACACAGAGCTACTAAGTGTCATAGCAGGACTCAGCCCCAAGTGTAGCACCAGAGTTGTTGCTTTAAACAGTATATTGCTTCTCAAATGTAATTTCAAGCCTATTGACATTCTTATTACAGGTTATAAGGAAAAGGTCATGATAGATTTGATTAGTATTAGAGTCATTGGTCACATATGCAGGGCCATAATTAGCTTTATTGAGTCAATAATTGTTCATAAATTATAGCCTGGTACTCATTAATTAAAGGCAAGTTTTAATTTATAAGTGCTATTTGCTTATGATAGTAAGTCTCTGGGCATGTATCTGACAAGTTAGTGCTAAGAATGAACAGACTTTTGGGCATAAGACTGCTTGAAAGTGAAAAGGCAGAGCTCCTTTTCTTTTTATTTCTGAAACTCGACAAGCTGTCCCCTGCAGGGCATAACTCATCTTAAAGTGAATTCATTTTAGAGCCTAGAGCATCTACAGGCCTATAAAGTTCAAAACCAAGAAAAACTAATAAATAGTGTTAGAAGTTAGGATAGCATTACCTTTGGGGAGTAGGGAGGGGTGCAGTGATTAGGAGGAGGTACAGGGGTTTCTGAGTTGCTGCTGTTGTTCTATTCCTTGATCTAGATGGTGATTACAAGAATGTGCTCAATTTGTGATCATTTGTTGAGCTATAAACTTAAATTTTTGTTTACCCTTTGGTATGAATGTTTGAGGGTTGTTTTTTTTAAACTTCTGACACCAAACATGTGGTATCTCTTCCAACATTACATCTCTCACACCAACTAGATGTCCAATTCAATTCTGTCACCAGCTACCCAGACGTGGTGTCAGACTCCAATTTAAAGATTCAGTCCCACAAGACTTTCCTAACTTTATATATCAACAACAAGCAGGGGGTTCCCACGTTAGGGTTCCCACATTATTCATACTTCTGTGTGACTTGGCTAAAGAGTTCCAGGTTCACACTACCCCTCCTCAGTTTTAGTAATTTACTAGAATGACTCAAAGAGCCCAGGAAAGTGTTTTACTTACTATTACCAATTTATTCTAAAACACCTGACTCAGTTAAACAGTTAAATAACAGAGATGAATAAGACAAGGTCTGGGGTAGAGGAGACAAGGTCTGGGGCCCTAGAGCTTCCATGCCTCCTCCAGGAGAATAACCCTCCCAGCACTTCCATATGCTCACCAACCCAGGAGGCCTCCGAATCCCATTGTTTAGGGGATTTTACAGAGATCTTGTTATATATACACAATTGACCAAATTATTGCCCACTGATAAATTTGGTCTCTTCCCTCTTTCCCTTCTGCAGAGGCTGGGGGATGGAGCTGAAAGTTCCAACCCCCTGTTTGTATGGTTTTGTCTTTCTGGTAGTAGTCCCTATCCTGAAACTATATAGAGAGGCACCCAGCCACCAATCATTTCTGTAGCACACAAACCTATCATTCTGGAGGTTCCAAGAGTTTTAGGAACACATGTCAAGAACCCAAGACCAAATATTTTTTATTGTATTATAATACATGATTGGATAAAACATCAAATTTTTTGAACTCCAAATTCTGTACCAACTGCTTGTGATTTTGGAAATTTCTGATGTAGAAGGCCAAGACCTGTAAGAAATAAGGGATATGTGAAGAGCCAGAAGACAACTGTGGAATGCTTTCATTCTGTCCAAAGGTGGAGTTTGTTCTTGGCATTCCAAGAATTCTGAGTGAATTCCCTCATTTTAGAAATATTATAAAAGCTACAGTGGCTCAAGCCTGTAATCCTAGCTACTAAGGAGACTGGGATGATTGCGGTTTGAAGACAGTCTGGGCAAAAAGTCCACAAGACCATCATCTCAACCAATAAAAAGCAGGACGTGGTATCACATGCCTATCATCCTAGCTACACTGAAAGGATAGGATTGCAGTCCAGACTGGTCTTGGCATAAAGTAAAACCCTATCTCAAAAATAACCAAAAGAAAAAGTGCTGGAGGTATTGCTCAAGTGATAGAGCACCTAGCTAGCAAGTGTGAACGTTGAGTTCAACCCCCAGTACCTCCAAAAAAGAAATATTGAAAAGGTGATAGCTACACTCTATAGTACTATTCTTCAACTGCTGTGTGGGTCAAGTAGGTTTTCATTTAGCTGTTATTACAGTGCAATAGCTGTTGTTTTTATTAACCTGACACCCTAACCACCTGTATCATAATATTTTTATAGACAAACATTCAGTCCTTTTTGGCACAGTGTCTATTAATATTTTTAAAACAGAGAGTATGCAGATTATAAAAATTATTATATGAGAATGTTCTCCAAATTTTAAATTTATCTTCCCACCATGAGTTCAGCCTATTTTCCTTTGTCTTGGTTTGGAGGATGTGGTATAAGGAAAGTCAATGATTTTAACCAGGATGAATTTGCCTCCGAATGAATATCTGACAATGTCTGGAGACGTTTTTGATTGTCAAAACAGGGATGGGGGTTGCAATTCTCATCTAATGGCCAAAGATGTTTCTAAACATCCCAACTTCTTCACTACCACCACTGCAGCAAAAAATTACTCAGCCCACAAGTCAATAGTGTCATTTATTGAGAAATCCTGGAATGGGTTAAACACAAGGTAAATCACTAAAACTAAGATTAAACACTCACAGAATCTAGGCCATCCCTGAATGTAACCCAAAACCATTAAATTCTGTTAAACATGTTCAAAGACATTCCATCAGTATTTAAGTGTCTCTGCTAATATTTTAAGTCATTCAGTTGCTTTAAATATGAAAATATTTTAATAAAAATGTGAGGGGTAGGGTAAAAGAAGGAAAGTAAGAACTTGATTATAGGTGATATACTCTCTATATGGGAATTAATATAGAAATCTTAAACCAGCTGAAACCATCATAAAAAAGGGACTAAGATAGAATGTAAATAATTAGAGGAGATAAGTCAATTGAGGGTATAACACATATATGCATGGAAATATCACAAGGAAACTCCCTGTGTAGCTATCTTTATCTCAAGCTAGCAAAAATATCATGTTTTTCTTTTTATCTTTTTAATTTTCTGCAAAATCAGAGAACAGGAGGGCAGAGCAGGTCCTGCCCAGGGGGAAGGTTGGCACCAATGGGAAGGTGGAGGTGGCAGGGAAGGGGGGGTAGAAGAGTGAATACAGTGCAAAAAATGTGTACACGTACACGTAAATGCAAAAATGATACCTGCTGAAATTGTTCCAGGAATTGGGAGTAGTGGGAGGGTGAATTCAAGTATGATATATTTGATACATTGTAGAAACCTTCGTAAATGCCACAATGTACCCTACCAAGCACAACAATAAAGAAAAAAATGTTCCCCTTACTTAGTTGAGGATCAGTAAATGAAACAAAGTTTCTTTTGGACAATGGGGAAAAGAAAACAATGGAAGAAGGAGGAATCACCTAAGTAGTCTTTTAAATATGTGTCTAACTGTACCAGTCTGAAAAGCAATTCTTGGGAAAAATGATGAAAATTTTAATTTTTGTGGATAGGTCATATCTAAACCCCTTATAAATATGTACCTGTACACAAATGGCAGGAGTGCAGTGAGCTCAGAAGGTTAAAACTATACAAAGTTTTGTGTAAATAGGCAATGTAGCTATTTTTTTTCTTAATATATTTTTGTGAATTTACTCATCAGAAATAATGAGGAACAAAAAAATCTCCTGACCAGCAGAATGCAGTAATTTTCTAAATGTAGAAATCTCTGCCCTTGCCATGGAATATTGCTAAGACTGTTGAAGAAGATGTTGAAATCTTAGAACATTCTCCATAAAGATGCCTCATTATTGTGTTTACTTTCCTTTCCTGTTGGCTCCTGTGAGAAGAATGTCATCATCAGTGAGATCAATAATAAGTAGTCTGCCAGCTCCTGGAGCCTGGTCCCTGCGTATCCACAAGGAGGATATAGTGCAAACACTGCCTTATGCATCCCTGAACTGAATAAAGATGGCAACCTGAGGCTCCGTCCAACATGCATCACTATGTTTTCCAGAGTGCTTCAATTAAAGTACTAAATTATTCATAGGCAAATTGAAATGGGAGAATTGTATACTGGTTTCAACATACTTCTTTTCTTCTTGCTTGTCATACAATACTTCTCTAACTCCTTGTTAAAACTAGTGCTTTTATATCATTTGAAGATGTTTTAAAGGACAGATAATATTCTAGTTCCTGTTAGATGATCTACGGTTTAGGATTTTTCACTATGTTGAGGATTTGTCCTGACTTTTGATATTAACAGGAACAGTTCCACCTTAAAAATTCTGTATCTTAGCAGCACCTAAGTTCTGTGAGAGGCTCCTGTAACCTGAGAAGTCATGAAGCATTCTGAAATTGATGTTCTTGTTCCCAGTTAGAATAAACACATAGCAGGAGAGAAGTCATTCTTACTTGGTGGTTTCGTAATTGATCAAGATGTATTTTAAATACCTTGTACATGTCCACTGAAATATATACTTAAGGATCAATATGATTATCTTTTTACTCTTACAGACATGCTTACTCCACATTTGCATGAGAAATATTGATTAAGCATCTGCTATACATAGATGCTAAGGACTGGTATGAACCTTGAGTAAGACTGACATTGTCCCTGCCCTGTCAAACATGCTGTAATACACAGAAATAGATGCCCCCTGAATGAAATGAGGAGGACAGAACACAAAATCAGCCTTAGAAAATATGGGTACTTATCCCAGCTCACCCACTCTTTGATGTGTAATCCCATTTGACCTCACTGAGCTTTCCTTTTCTCATCTACAAAATAGAAATATTATTGGTCACTGGTTTATTATGAGGCTCAATCAGTGAAAGGATGTGTCGTAAAATATGTTTTGATCCCTAACACCACAAAAATAAAAATAAAAGTATAGTAAGTTACAAGATGCACCATGTGACATAATATATTATTATTATTATTAAATATAGCTATTAGCTACTATGCCCATCACTGTGCTCTGTGTTGATGACCAGCAAGGCTCAAGCAATGCGCTAATGTTGCTAAAAGTTTCAATGCAACCACACAAACTGACCTAATTTCTCCATTCTCCCTCACAGGAATCTGCAGCTTATAAAGCTGTGAAAGCACTTCGCTCAGTACATGGGGTACGGTACAGATACGGACCTGCGTCCAGTACATTGTGTAAGTTTCATGTTTATGTTGTGTTTGAATCATCTCTCTTGAATCAATATCCTGTATCATGATTTCCTTTTACAAAGGAGAGAGCATGTTCTCCCTATAGTGAAATTGTACTATCAAATTAGCCAAGGAAGATGGAAGGAGTTTATATCTGATTAGTTTTACACAGCTTGACAGAAATCACTGTACCAATTTAAACAAATTCTAAGCAGAGAATATGCTAAGTGTGTGGTAATGACTACGAGTTGAATTGAGAGCTTCTGACATTAGAAAGTACCAAAATGGGCTCCTTAAGCAATCGTAAGCACTGTAAGGGTGGAAATGGGCCTCGGGAAGATAATGAAGCAAATGTTTCAGCCCTACAACAGTTTCCCTTTTATTCCTTTCCTCCACCATTCTTGTTATGAAATGCTGTTTCTGACTTAGCATCTTCAGCTGCATTTTCCCTTCAAAGGTGGTTTAAAAGTATTTCTTGTTTTACATAAAATAATGAACAACAGTATATGGAAAGAACTTTGAAAAAGAACCATAAGATGTGGTCTTGTCCTAAATCTGCCAGGTGAGTCATTCTAGCCAAGATATTTATTAATTCTGTGCTTTTTAATTTCCAAAATAGAAATTCTATTGTAACATGATGAATTGGACTAGATCATTTCTTATGGCCTTTCAAATTCTAAAATTTATTGACTATGTAACTAGAAAAAAATCTAGTGAGAAATCATGCATATTTGAATGTTTGTGTATGCAGGATGGTAAACACACTTGCTATGAATTTGCATAGATATTGGCTGATAATGCTCTCGGTAAGGGAACAAATTTCTCCTTGATGTCTTTAATCTCACTGTCCTTAATGTCTTACCTCTCACTTTCTTTAACCTTCAAAACAAAACTTAGTTTGTCAATTAATGTTACTAGTCCAATAAATTTATACTAATCATGAGAATGACACAAGTATCAATAGGTTTTCAGGGTCCATGATTACTGGTCCCATGCTGAACTTTATAGAACTGCTTTCTTTCTTCCTTTCTTCCTTCCCTCCTTTCCTTCCTTCCTTCTTTCTTCCTTCCTTCCTTCCATCCTTTCCTTCCTCCTTCCTTCCTTCCCTCTCTTCCTTCCTTTCTTTTCCTCCCCCCCCCCCCCTTTTTTTTTTCTTTCTTTTTCATAGGGTCTCATTATATACCTCAGGCTGGTCTGGAGCTTGCTATATAGCTACAGCTAGCCTAAACTAGCAATCCTGCCTTAACCTCCTAAGTGCTGGGCTTACAGGCATGTACCACAATGCCCAGCTAGAACTGTTTTTCAATAGTCATCCTGAAAGGAGAAAAACAGTGTTTAAAGGAAATCAGATTGCAAACTAATATCAATGTAATACATATGTAAAAATTTTTAAGCATTAATTTTTTAAATCTAACAGCTCACCTTTTCAGCTTGCTGTAAAGACACAGTCATAGTATTATATTTACTGAGAACAATCTGTTACCATAGAAATGAGCCTGTAACATCACCCTGATTTAATGGTTGGCACATACTGTCTCTGACTTTGGCTAATGACTACTATTTGTAGTTCCAATGTATTCTAACTAGAGGGACACTGAAGCCACAGCCAATCTTCTGTCCTTAACCAAAGGAAAAGGTATCTGAAAAACAGCAGAGCCATTTAGTTGTAATCTTTACATAATAAATTCATCCTTACTTGCCCTAGGATGAAATAGCATGAAAAAGCATTATTTGAGTAAATGAACATGTTCTGGAAATTTAACAACAATAACATCAGCAACAATAACAGTAATAATTATAGTAGTATATCAAACTGGATCATATACATTTCAAGAAAAAGTATAAAAAGATTTTTCTGTGAAATATTTATTTGTTTAATAAATGATTACTAAGAATCTGTTGTACTAAAAGCTATATACTAGACTTTCAGAGATGTAAAGATATAAAATAATAATAGCTAATATATCCTAAGTGTTTTCAAATAATTTATTATTCCATTTAATTTTCAACCTATGCAATGAGTATTAGCATTGTCCCCTTTTTGAAAATGGGAGAGTGAGGCACAGAGAAGCCACATAGCAGGTGGTGAGATTGGAGACAGGGCATTGCAGGCAGGCTACTTTTAGCACTGTGCTAAAAAGCTAGAATATGTGAGGTCACAGGGTCAGAAGGAAAGACTTGCCTGAATGTATTTTCAGCTATGTGAAGTGCTGTGGAGAAGCTGAAAGCAGGATCTGAGGAGAAAACAAAAACCAGAAAAGGAGATTAGATCAGCAGTCATTGGTGACTTCCAGAGGAAAGTTTAATAGACAGGTAAGGCAAGAACCAGACAGAAAGTGTTTGAGGATGTAGATGCAACATAAGCGAGTTATAAAGAAGACAAAGAAGATGGTATCCAAGGGTATATGGAAGGATCAAGAGGAGGAAGGAGTCCTTGAGCAATTGTAGATTCAAGAGAGAGGGTGTTCATGAATGAAACAAGGTCCTGGAAAAGAGATCTTCCCATTACAGAGAAGACATAACAAATGGTGTCAAGAGATGACTTGTGTAAAAGACAAGCAACATGTCTTCCTGTAGAAAGAGAAACATCAGAGGGCTCTGATGTTAGTAGAGATGATGATGGGATAATAATCTAGAAATTGAAAGACAGTGGTAAAGTGAGGGGCAATACCAGAAGAGAATGGGAAAGATTCAGTAAGTGTGAAACATTAAAAAAGGAGCTCAGAAAAAGGCTGCCGTGATAGGCAGTGAATGTTTGGGATCCTATATAGCAAAAACTTTCTCAGCTCTCCTCCCTGAAGTAAAAGTGGAAAAACTGGGCCAGAGGCCAAGGATTAGCAAAATAAAGGCAGAGAAAGGAAAGGGAGGAGGCATGGGAGGGGTGAGAAACTTAGTAATTGACCATGGCCAAGGGAAGAGTCAAAAAAACCAAAAGAAGGCAGAGAAGAATCTGGAAACCACAAACTGAAAGCAAAGAACAAGTTAAGCAGGAGGTGGAAAACAGGGGACATGGTAGAAGTGAGGAAGCTTCTGGAAATAAAATTTCAATATTGTAGACCTAAAAGGGGAGAAGAGCTGAGTGATAAGAACTAAGAAACTACTCCTCACTGTAGGCTGTTTATTGGTCAATAAAGTGAAGATAAAGATAAACATTATTGGATTGAGGTTGAGAAATTTGAGGCCATCTGACTGGCAAAGTATTAATACCTAGACTAGATCCTCAAAGATGATAGGAGGTGTGATTTATAAGTTCATGAGGCAGATGCCAAAGAACTACTGTTACATCATTCTTACTGAAATGAAGGATTTAGCACAGCTTAGTAAGCAAGCACTATATATGTACATATAAAGCACTATACATACAGATATAAATTATGAAACATTTATATATATATATATAAATTATGCAGATACTTTAGTAAGGCTAACTTTTTTTTTAACTTTTAGATGTAAGCTCTGGTAGCTCAATGGATTGGGCTTACAAAAATGGAATACCCTATGCATTTGCTTTTGAACTGCGTGACACTGGACATTTTGGATTTTTGCTCCCAGAGATACTCATCAGACCACCTGCACAGAGACCATGCTGGCTGTGAAGAATATCACAATGCATCTGTTAAAGAAGTGTCCCTGAGAGGGCCGAAGGGTCAGACCAGACCAGAGAGAGCTGCTCTGACCAAAAGCTGCTAAGCCCAGGGTGGAAATTGTTTTTAAGGAGAAAGGGAACTGTTTAGACTGAACATATCTATGGACTTTAAAAAGCCTTCTCATGAATAAAAGGAATACAAATAGGTAAAGAAACTGTCAAAATATCCATATTTGCAGACGACATGACCCTATACCTTAAAGACCCAAAAAACTCTACTCAGAAGCTTCTAGACATCATCAATAGCTATAGCAAAGTAGCAGGATATAAAATCAACATAGAAAAATCACTAGCATTTCTATACACTAACAATGAGCAAACGGAAAAAGAATGTATGAAAACAATTCCATTTACAATAGCCTCAAACAAAATCAAATACCTAGGTGTAAACCTAACAAAAGATGTGAAAGACCTCTACAAGGAAAACTATACACTTCTGAAGAAAGAGATTGAGGAAGACTATAGAAAGTGGAGAGATCTCCCATGCTCATGGATTGGTAGAATCAACATAGTAAAAATGTCGATACTCCCAAAAGTAATCTACATGTTTAATGCAATTCCCATCAAAATTCCAATGACATTCATTAAAGAGATTGAAAAATCTACTGTTAAATTTATATGAAAACACAAGAGGCCACGAATAGCCAAGGCAATACTCAGTCAAAAGAACAATGCAGGAGGTATCACGATACCTGACTTCAAACTATATTACAAAGCAATAACAATAAAAACAGCATGGTACTGGCACAAAAATAGACATGAAGACCAGTGGAACAGAATAGAGGACCCAGATATGAAGCCACACAACTATAAGCAACTTATCTTTGACAAAGGAGCTAAAAATATACGATGGAGAAATAGCAGCCTCTTCAACAAAAACTGCTGGGAAAACTGGTTAGCAGTCTGCAAAAAACTGAAACTAGATCCATGTATAGCACCCTATACCAAGATTAACTCAAAATGGATCAAGGATCTTAATATCAGACCCCAAACTCTTATGTTGATACAAGAAAGAGTAGGAAATATTCTGGAGTTAGTAGGTATAGGTAAGAACTTTCTCAATGAAACCCCAGCAGCACAGCAACTAAGAGATAACATAGATAAATGGGACCTCATAAAACTAAAAAGCTTCTGTTCATCAAAAGAAATGGTCTCTAAACTGAAGAGAACACCCACAGAGTGGGAGAAAATATTTGCCAATTATACATCAGACAAAGGACTGATAACCAGAATATACAGGGAACTTAAAAAACTAAATTCTCCCAAAACTAATAAAGAAATGGGCACGTGAACTAAACAGAACTTTCTCAAAAGAAGAAATTCAAATGGCCAGAAAACACATGAAAAAATGCTCACCATCTCTAGCAATAAAGGAAATGCAAATTAAAACCACACTAAGATTCCACCTCACCCCTGTTAGAATAGCCATCATCAGCAACACCACCAACAACAGGTGTTGGCGAGGATGCGGGGGAAAAGGAACACTCTTACACTGTTGGTGGGAATGTAAACTAGTACAACCACTCTGGAAAAAAATTTGGAGGCTACTTAAAAAGCTGGACATCGATCTACCATTTGATCCAGCAATACCACTCCTGGGGATATACCCAAAAGACTGTTACTCCAGAGGCACCTGCACACCCATGTTTATTGCGGCACTATTCACAATAGCCAAGTTATGGAAACAGCCAAGATGTCCCACCACTGACGAATGGATTAAGAAAATGTGGTATCTATACACAACGGAATTTTATGCAGCCATGAAGAAGAACGAAATGTTATCATTCGCTGGTAAATGGATGGAATTGGAGAACATCATTCTGAGTGAGGTTAGCCTGGCCCAAAAGACCAAAAATCGTATGTTCTCCTTCATATGTGGACATTAGATCAAGGGCAAACACAACAAGGGGATTGGACTATGAGCACATGATAAAAGCGAGAGCACACAAGGAAGGGGTGAGGATAGGTAAGACACCTAAAAAATTAGCTAGCATTTGTTGCCCTTAACACAGAGAAACTAAAGCAGATACCTTAAAGCAACTGAGGCCAATAGGAAAAGGGGACCAGGAACTAGAGAAAAGGTTAGATCAAAAAGAATTAACCTAGAATGTAACACACATGCACAGGAAATCAATGTGAGTCAATGCCCTGTATAGCTATCCTTATCTCAACCAGCAAAAACCCTTGTTCCTTCCTATTATTGCTTATACTCTCTCTACAACAAAATTAGAAATAAGGGCAAAATAGTTTCTGCTGGGTATTGAGGGGGAGGGAGGGCGGAGTGGTGGTAAGGGAGGGGGTGGGGGCAGGGGGGAGAAATGACCCAAGCCTTGTATGCACATATGAATAATAAAAGAAAAATGAAAAAAAAAAAGCCTTCTCATATAATTTGATACTTTGTAACAATAGGAAAATGGCAAAAAAAAAAAAAAGTTGGGACATAACCTAGTTTTTTATAAGAAAAAAAAACATCTTTTTCATATCCCTTTAGAGTCTTATTTGGTTACATGGAGGAGGGGATGTTTAATTACTTGGTTCTTGTTTGAAATGGAAAAATTTTTTTTAAAAACCAACTGTATTTTTTAATATAATAAATATACAATTTTTGAAGATCTCAGATTATTCACATCTTCATCCCCTCATATTAGTGTACCATCTACCTATAAAAATATGGTAAAATAGAGCAATTTCTGTTTAGACTCTAAGAATGCCACTTAAAAATAAGAGTAAATAATAATTGAAATGCCAGACAGAGAGTTTGGAGCTATACACTTCATAAACTCACTGATACCTCATAATACATATTTCAAATGAGGAAACTGAATCTCAGAAAGGTAATATAGATTTCCATTTCCAGGAATATGACAAGATAGATATCTACACTGCTAGAAATTACTAAAAGTCCTGGACAAAGTATAAATTTGGGCCCAGGCTGGCCTTGAACTCAAGATCCTCCTGCCTCATCCTCCCAAAAGCTGGGGTTATAGGCATGCACCATCAGGCCTATCTTGTAATTTTTCAAGTCATCTTAAAATCATCAGACAAGAAAGTAAAGAAATCAGAAGCAAGGCCTTAAGTGAAGACAAAAACCTAGAACAGTAATTGGTACACTATTATCCTAAAAGTATTTTTCAAACCAGCTGAGTACAAACTTGGATTTTCACAGCATTCTGAGGAATGGGTCAGAGAAGAAAGCCCAGGGCTGCTCTAAACCAGAAAGCCTACTAGGTTCTCCTCCTCCCAGAATTCTGGGATTCCTAATGGTTGTATCTTCATTATAAGGGAAATTAGAAGTAAATCCCCATAGTATTTCTAAAGGACCACAAGTTAAAAATTATCATTTCAAAGTTGGGCAAGAAGAGAGTGGAGGGAAATTGCCACTGAGAATTTGGAACCACCAGTCAGTCAGAGCACAGATTTGTGACCCAAATTCAGATTATTCAAATGGTCTCATGAACCTCTAGCCAAGAATTTAATTCAGATCTATCCCAGACTGGTAATACTCACAAGAATTTGGTAGAAGCAAATACAAATCTTCTTAAAGGATTTGTCTGATCAAGACATATCATGAACACTAGGATAAATGGATGAGCCTAAAAACTTCCAGAGGAGAGAAAAAGGAATGAGGACTTAGGTACCATGAAACTTCCCAATAGCACCACTAAAACTTGAAGACAATGGAGAAATGCCGTCAGTGTTTTGAGAAAAAAAGTCATACATCCAGCAAAAATATTGATGAAATATGAAGAATAGAATATAGACATTTTCATAAAAGTGAGGTCCTAAATTATTTACCTTTCTCAGGAAGCCCCTAGAGGTCATGCTCCACCATAATGAGGGAGTAAACCAAGAGAAAGATGTGGGATCCAAAAAACATGGGGTATTCAACTTAGGAGACTAGCATGGGAAAAAATCTTGAGAAAAATTCCCAAATAACAGCTTGAGTCAAACTTACAGAACAACTAACATGAGTAAGAAGAAGAGAATTTAAGACTTCAGGTGAAAAGAAATGGAATCCTCAAATGCTTTGTGACTTAGCTATAAAATAACATTTGCATAGTCAACTAGTGTTAGATATAAATATAACATAAAGAGAGGAAGAAGTGAAATGCGTGGGAGAAATGGATTATAGAAGAACCTAATCCTCATCTTCCATGGAATGATGTCAACAGGCAATCTCTAAGACTGAAAAATCAAGATATACCTGTATACGTGTATTACTTAGGAATAAGAAAGGAAATACCTCAAAAGAATTATTGTTTATAACACAAGCCTTGTCATATTATTTAGCAGGTTTTATTTTTTTCAATTAGGAAACTGACATACTAAAAGTATTTTCCTTTTAAGGGAAAAATAATAGCTTAATTTAAAAAACAAACTCTCAATCACCAGTCTTTTTTTTTTTTTTTTGATACAGGTTCTCACTATGTAGCCCACGATGTTCTCAAACTCGAGATCCTCCTGCTTCAGCCTCCTGATTGCTGGGATTACAGGTGTGCATCACCACACCTGGCAAGGCTTTTTTTGTGGTGCTAGCTCTTGAACCCACTACCACCATACCCAGTTTAGACAGTCCTTTTGCTATCTATAAAATGTTTGCATATTGTTTCTATAAAATAACATCAAAATTAAATTTAAAATCTCAAAATACTTTACATCTGTTCAGGTAGAGGATACAACATAATGAAAGCTGTTGAATAATGGGGAATGGGAGGGAAGTGGTAAGGGAAAGTAATGGAAGGGGTTGAACTGACCAAAATAAAGTGTACTCACGGCAGGGATACATTGAGAAACCCCTTTGAAAATTGACTTTGGAATTAATAACCAAAAAAAGGACTGCAGGAAAGGAACTGTGTGGGGGTACTTATGGGAGGGTAGAGGGTGAATGGGGGAGATGAAGTTGAGGGACTATGGTTGATGGGCTTCATATACATACATGAAATAGAACAATGAAACCTCTTGCAATTGTTTTAAGTGGGGTGGGGAGGTAGTTGGTGGGGAGAGATATGGAGGCTGTCTAACCAATATACAATTAAGCCTATTTGAAATTGTTACAAGGAATTCCCCCCTGTATAATGATTATATCCTAATAAAAATGGAGAAAATATTAAATAATAT